ACATTTACCTACTTAATCTCATTTGGACCTTCGGCTTACAGAAAAACATCCAAAACGATTCACATGCGAAACTTCAAAGTAAAAACTTTCAGAACTTTTATTAAAACTCTAAGTTGCGTTGCAAACATTATTTTAATACAAAGATCTTCACATGCTAACAGTTAACTACCACATACTGACACCCTACAAAATATTTCACATTTGATTACACGAACATATAAACATCCTCATACAACGTATAGCTATAATTAACATATCCAATAATAAACTTTGGAGAATCAAAAGAAGCCTAATGGGGGAACTCATCAGTCAATTATGAATACTAAAATCGATATAGGAAAGGATGCCGCTGGGCACTCCCCTCTCTCATGACTATTACTATTATATTTCCCAACTGTAGTTTCACTGGTTGTCTGTATTTCTGACTTCTGTAGTTGAAGAAATATAGTTAACAAATAAGATGAGCCATTTTACTTCTAACCCTAAATGAAAGTTAAGAGATTGTAAAGTAGGTGTTCGATTGCCCAACCTATTTTATTTATAGTTACAATTACATATAATTTATATTCAGGTTTTGATCTAATTTATTTATTTATCCATTAGTTTATAGATGTTTTTTAAAAATATAAACATCTACACTAATATATAGAAATAGACTTTTAAAATGCTCTTAGTGACCAAAGCACTTAAATAAACTAAATTGTTTTAAAAATATAAGATATACAAAACTTATTCATAATTGAATTTAATTATCACTTTCTAAATATTTTTAATAATTGTTTATTGTGAGATGGACTGAATCAGTGTCCATTTTCTACATTCCTATTTACAAATTCCAATTTTAAAAATCACGTTTTTAAAAATGAATTTATTTATCAATCTTTCTAGAAAACAGGAAAATCTTAAATAAAATTTAAATTAATTGATAGGTGGCCTAAACGAATTGAAATAGCAAGGGCTAATTTAGGCGTTCCGAATCAATATTTTTTGTTTAAATTTTAAAATTTTACTCGAGTAAAATAGAAAATCTTTCCTATTGTTTTATTCGAAAAGGAAAATAACGCCACCTTTTGAGTAATCCAATGATAAGAACTGTTTCTATTTATTAAGTAGCTTTCTCCAATTTGAGGAATTCTTGGAAGCTTTCAAGTATTTCATTTATAGAGATGCCTTTACAGTGTTTCTGTCTGCTGCATTTTGTTGAATTGAATTAGGACCCGTGAGGTATCTCAACATCTCAAACCACTTCGAAGAGGTGGAGATTTATTCAATTGGCTCGTCAAGAACTTACCGTTAAGAAAATATGTCGTTGATTTTATTAAAATCGATAAACCTTTCAGCAAAGAAACGAATAATTATTGAGGAAAAATATCGCAAACCTGTTATACAAAATTAATGCTAAAAAGCACGTAATAAATTAAGAATCGGATCATATGCTAAATATCGTGGGATTTTCACAAAAGGTCATTAAGTGACATCTCATAAAATTACCATTAAGTACTTTGATACATTGTATTCCTCTTAAATCAGAATATTGAGTTCTAATTGTGAGTATTTTATAAACTCTTTTTTTTTTTCTTTCTAACCCCACAAAAAGTTTATTTAATTACAATTGCATATATAAGTATAACAAATACAAATATATACAAATAACAAGGTCCTTCCACTGCCCGCGGGCATTTTAAGGATTGGGGATAGCTAAGGATAACATATGTGGCAGAAGGCCTTGTGACTTTCATTGAACGGGGAGGGACCGTTCTGCTAATTATTTATTATTTATGTTTTTTATAATATTTACGCTATATACAATATATACACATTAGTGGGTTTGGACCGCAGAGTCCAGAACACATCCTTCGTCGAATATGTCCACCAAAGGGAGTTTACCTTGCCACCTCCCAGGTCTGGGTGGTGGTGAGACCTAATTAAACAGTGGGTTTGCTCAGGCCTTCAGCCTATCAAAAAATTTGATGTGCCTCCGGCCTATGAACTCGAATGGAGCTGAAGCTCCTCTCGTATTTTTTGGTTCTTAGCTTTTTGTAGGTGGTGCCACGGACAATTCGCCGAAGGATAGAGTTCTGGAAGCCCTGTAGTTTCGTAACCTCGGATTTATACAGGTAGCGTTGGAGAGGACGACGACTTCAGTAGGTGGTAGAGAATGTGACTTCTGCCGTACCAACTTGATCCTCTGTCTAACGTGATTGGAGAGGGTTAAATGTCTATCCAGTGTGACGCTAAGATTGACGATCGAGGTGGAGATTTTATGATCAGCTCTCCCAACGGTGAAGTGTGTGGATAGAGGATTCTTTCCCTTCTGGAACGACATGGAAATAGCATCAATCTTCGCAGGATTCAGTCTGATAACGGTCGTTTCTAGCTCTTCAACAATGGCGGCTGAAGCATTTTGTGCCGGATTGAGTGCAGTCCCCGCGTTGACGCTGGAAGCATATATGCCAATGTCGTCCGCATAGGCTGCTACCACCGCCTCTGGATGCTTCAGTGCCACAACTGGCGCCGTGAAAACGAAAAACAGTATGGTCACCAACACAGACCCTTGAGGTACTCCGCATATGGTATCGACTGGGGTTGATTAGTCTGTACCAACTCGTACTACGAAATATACTTCCGCTGAGGTAGTTTTGGATAAGTCGGCATAGAATGGCAGGAAACCTGAACTCTTCCAGACAGACAGATAAAAGGGTCTAGCTAATTTTGATTCATTCAATGTGTTTATGTTCTTGGGTAGAGGTGAATACAAATACAATTTAAAAGAATAAAAATTAATCATAATCATTAATTGATTATGATTAATTATTATTCTGATTAATAAATTATTAATAAATCATATATTCATGTAGCGAATTTTGTTTTCATTTACCCTTCAATTTTTTTTGGTTAGGACCAATAAAATATATTAAAATTAAAATGATTATTACCCAACTAACGAGGCAGTAATCGGTGGGTCATCTATTTCACTAAATTTATTTTGGATTATACTCGATCAAAAAATAATGGACACATATTTCAGCGTTCGTTCCAAAGGCGGCGTAGGAGCCAATTTCAATAATTTCAAACAAAATTTATTTATGCTTTCACTCTGATTTTTATGGTAATATATATATATATATATATATATATATATATATATATATATATATATATATATATATATATATATATATATATATATATATATCAATCGATTTCTCTTTTTTTATGCAGAGTGAGAAACAAATATGATCTATTGCATTCAATGAGCTTTGAAGTATCATAAATTACAAAAACCGAAAGACGCTAAAAGTAAAGTGGGCCAAATAATTTTTTTTTTTATAAAAAAGCAAGTTAGATTCGTTTTTAGTGTCCTTTAAAACTTTTCAATACGAAGTTTTACAGAAATCAAAAAATTCAAAAATTAATACTTGATTCTCTTAGAGGATTTTTTTGAATGGGGGTATAACTAAAGCATTTACAACTTTCCAGAATTTCCTCATTTTAATTCAACGTTAGCGCTACCGTTGGGAAGCTGAATTACTACTCTGTTAGCCCACATCTATAATTTTTTGGATTTCATTCCTTTTTAAATTGGAAATCAAAGAAAATATTTTAAAAATTTTCAATTTATATCTTTGGTTCCAATTTATATTTATATTTGGTTCTAATACGGATGACTGATTTGTACCATTTCGTGTAGTATATAGAGACCTAAATTCTAAACATATATATTTTTTTTATCGGTTGTGCTGTTCTAAAGCTATCACAATTTTTGTGGTTATCGGAAAAATTTCGAAGGGTCCACAGCGAAGACAAAAATTTTGTTCAGAAAATGTTAATTTTTCGATTACTATAATAATAATTATTTCTATATATGAGGAAATAAATGGATGCTATTTGAAATGCCAAATTTCATTATTTCACATCACTTGAGTTATGTAATAGTTGTTTTGAAGTTTCTTTTGCTGTAACTTGGATGAATTATGCACGAATTTGGTAAAACAGGGAAATTCCTTATATAATCATATTTAATCCATTGTTTCTCAAGTTACTCTTCTCATATTTCTATTAAAACATAATCATTTTTTGTTTTTTGGTTCCTTCTTAACTATCAGTTTTTGTTTTTTTTATTATTTAAATGCGGTCGATCCAAAACCTTATAATTTTTTAAACAGGTGTAAAACCTCTATGTTAAAGTATCAGCAAGTCGATATCAATAAGCAATATCTAAAAAAATTGATATTTTTTTTTCAATTTTAGGCTTTTGGGGTATACTGTCAATATATTTTTGAAGCCCTCATATAATGTTGCCCAAATGCGAGACGGAGAAGAGTCTTGTATTACTGTAATTCTTCAGATAGGAGAAACCTAATTAAGCCCGAATGAAAAATTAGAGGAGTTAAATGCAAAAATATATTGGTTATACCAATTATTAACACATAGTAACCAAGATTGTCAAGTATTAATAACTATTTTGCCTTCATTTTTATTTAAAAAATCGATTTTTTTTACCAGTCCTGGTCTTGGTATTGCAACAGTCAGGCGGCCTTGGTCTTGGTCTTGCAAAGTGACCAACCAAACCTGAGTTTGCAAGACCAAGACGGTCTCGGTCTCGCATTTGGGCAACACTACTACGCAAGGGGAGACCCCTCTACTAGTGCTTCGTTTAGATCAATTATCTAAACCGTGCAATTTTCCAAAACGAAGGAAAGTTTCATTAAAGCTAACTCATTCGACTTGCCAGAAGCAATGTTACTGTTTAAACTTTTTTATAATATATCTCTTGAACTTTTTCTTGAAAAGTTACGGTTTTCTTATCGTTTATTATCTACTCGATCAGGTTATCTACTCGATCCAGATCCCCATCATTTTACCTTTCATTTACTGTGCCATATCCTGCTTGACTGTACCATACTACTTCAACAACTCCTCCAGTACCTCTGAGACCCTCCTTAAGCAGAAGATCCTTGCTTCTTCATCTATAAATAATGAAATGTAATCTTTTTCAGTTGCTGTTGTGGTGGCTTTCTTCATCTGCTGGGCGCCATTCCACGCGCAGCGCTTGGTGGCGATCTACGGGAGCAGCGGGCACAACACCCCCAGCTCACCGTTCATGCTCAGCCTCTACTCGGTGGTCACCTACTTGTCCGGGATCCTCTACTACTTCTCGACCACGGTCAATCCTATCCTCTATCACATCATGTCTCTCAAGTTCAGGGAGGCTTTCAAAGTAAGTATCAATAATGTATTGATTAGTCTCAAGTATTATGCTTTTGTAAGAAAAAAGTTGTTGTGGAACCACTATGATAATTAAAAATGAATATTTTAGTTATTTTTCTTTTTTTCCTATGTTGACCCAAGATTGTCCTTCATTGAAGTCCTATACTGGAGTTGTGACTTTGTTTTGTATTACTGAATACCTAATTATTGATTTTATCGAGAAGATAGTTAAAATCAAATCTGAAGCCTATTACACACAAGAAGACCATTTTTTGCGAATTGCCTATAGGCCGTCTAATGACAACGTTCTTGGTCTCATCTTGCGTCCACTCTACGACGTGAATTTTTAAGTCTCGTTTTAGCAGGTCACCATGGAGGACATTGTTTTGTCTGGAATGAGTTCCTTCTTAGTGCTAATCACAAGTCACAGAACGCGAAAATGTAGACGTCGATGGACGCGCGAAGTGCTCGCAGAAGGACGTAGGTAAGGTTATGTATTATTAAATAAATTAAGGCTGGAAGAAGCCATAGGTTTTCGAAATTTGACCCTGCTGATGCCTACTAATTTTGAATATTTGCTTCTGATGGTTGGAGGGATAAACAGCCAAACCATACCATTCTGTGACTGGAGACAGGCAGGGGCGTGTGTCGACTCTAGACGCCGAATGACGTTCACACTGTCAAAATGATGTGTCTAACGTTGCATGTCGGTCGGAAGGCTTCAGACCTGCGATTTTTGGTCTCGCAACAGGCCTATAGACGGGTTTCTAGACATGTCTGCGTAGACAACTTGAGGTCTCACAGACCAACATCGCGGAACATATTATTGTCAAAATAAAATGTGATATTCGATTTTAAGATTCAAAAAGTTACCTTGTTTAATGAAGGAAAAATTATGCATTTATGCAAGACTACTTATTTAAATATTGCCAATAGATTGCAATGTTTCTATCTTTCTTTTTTTTCATGCATCCTTGTTATATATATTTAAAAAGTACTGAATGAATATTTAAATTTATATTCAGTATAGTACATTTATGCTTGTAGCATTTAAATAAAAAATACATACATATATATATATATATATATATATATATATATATATATATATAAACAACATATTAATTATTTAATTTTAATATTTATCATCAGTATTTATGATAAATATTAAATGGACGTTAAAATTTTGTTCATAAAACAAAATTAAAATAATAGGTATTTGTAGAACCAACATTTTTGGAGTTATTATATAGGTTTAAGTTTATGTCTAGTCTCCTAAATGGTATTATATATATATATATATATATATATATATATATATATATATATATATATATATATATATATATATATATGTATATATATATATACAACTTATCCTTAATCGACCTTTGATTATTAAATTTAAACTTAACTATTTATTGGGAATAAGGTCATTTAATTATTATTTAATAAACTATTGAATGTTCATTTCTTCTGTTTATTGACGTTTCGATCCCGGTATTTTCTTTTTATTAGTCAACCATGGGATCCTCTTCAAAGCTAGAATTTTAAAAAATAGAGCTTCGATCAGGCCAGGGACACACCGACAGTCTCTGCACCATCCACTAGCACCTATATTAAGTTACTGTTTTATATATATATATATATATATATATATATATATATATATATATATATATATATATATATATATATATATAATGTACTATACTGAATATAAATTTAAATATTCATTCACTACCTTTTAAATATATATATATAACAGGGATTTTTTTTTAATAAGAAGAACTACCTCTATGAAATGATGTTTAAGTGATTCTTGAAGTCCTTTAAAAAAAAAAAAAATTAGATACACAAACAATAGTCATTTTAAAGATTCCTTGTGTAATTTTTTAATAAGGTATGGTTATAAAAAATAGGTTTATGCGAATCATCATTTAAAAAATAGAACATCTCTCAAAGCAACAAATATAGGTCAATGAAAAAAAATATTTTTCCATTTTGGGGGAGATTCAGCCCCTGTTTTCCCCAACTAAAATCGTCACCACCTGCCACCACTAATGCACCAGTGCTTAAAGATAACTGCTTTAAAAAATGTATGCTTAAAAGTTACTGCACTTACGTGACTGCAGGTTAATGGTATGGAACAAACAGAATAATAATTTAAATTTGAATACTAATAATTCCATATATATATATATATATATATATACATATATTTTCAAATCGTCATTCTTATCTGTGGTATGTACTATGAACCTCTGAAGTTCAAAATCAAAAATGATAAAGGAATTAAAAAATATGAACTTTTAAAAAGGCTAAACTATATCAAACAGAGGTTAAGGCGAACAGGCGGCAGCGAACTCGTTGACGCCTATGAAAAATAATTCAAAAGCCCAGAAACCAAGTTATCAGACAAATTGAATTTAAATTCTAGTGATACCTTCAAAACAGTCTTTCAACCTGATATATGATAAATAGTATCATATTCGAGAGAAATACATTATCAGGATGAGTTGACCCGCAGAAAATTTGAGCATTGGAGTGTTCGAAACTCTATGGCATGACTGGAACTGGAGCCTCGTGTTTGCCCCATAACTCTCCAACAGAATGTGAGGTAGGCGTGAGGATACCGATGGATACCGGCGAGGGACTCAAGTTTGATAGGGATTAATTAGTTCGGAATCCTGACAATGGTAGAACTTGTGTCCCTAACGGGTAGCCATTTCCCCTTTATCGGTTCCAAGTACCTGATGATTGTGAATCCGGAGCCCATTCGGGAAAACAGGACTGGGCGGAATGGGGAAAAAATAAAATCTGATAAAATGCTATAATTCACTTTTATGTCTCAACAGAATGGGAAATTGTTAATAATAAATACTTCGCAATATTTTTTCATATACTTTTTTTTGTATTAAATATCTATTTGCATCTGCCAACCTTATGGTGGCAATCAACAAATCAGGCATGATGGAAGGATAGTTTCCTCCATCTCGACAAAATCTTCCTCTGTCTTGATTCAATCACTTGTGTTCTTTAAGGAGTGAGATCTCTCATCCAACGAAAAGGTAGCCATCCCCCTCCCCCCAAAGGTCGATGGCGCATAATCTCCTCCCCCCTCCCTATCAAGATATTTTATTGCTCTCCTCTTCATATAAACAATTTAAGCTAAAATAGCATTTAAAAAACTATACGTCATACAAAATTACGCTTTCAGTTGTATGTTTTTATCTTCTGATTGGGTTTGAAACTTTTTATTCTAGAAATTCATAAAACTTTCAAATTCATGTGACCCCATTAAAAATTCAAAACCTCATCAAATTTGTCTCCTCAAAAACATGCACCATGCCCTTCTGAGCATCCCAGATCCAACGCCTTTTTAGTCTCCTCCTCATATTCCGGAGTATATCAGCAGTGTTCAAAACTCTTATTAATCTGTTGTTATGTCAGTTTAAATTTGTATAAAATCTGTAAAGAGTGGTTATATGTTGGTCAACTGTTTTTTTTTTTTTTTTTTTTTTTTTTCCTAAGCCCCTATGGATAAAGACAATGTGTTAATTAAAATTATATACAATTATATGCAAGTGGTGTTTGGCTTTTTACTGAAACTGTGTTTCATTTTAAAGCCTTTTTGAAGTTAGTATGTGCATGGAATTTAATATGATTGAAAGTCTTGTTCTATAAAGACGCTGGGGCACGTCTTTGTTCTGAATTCACAAAAATAAATTATAACTAAAACTAAGACTAAATCTAATATATACATTATTTACACTAGAGCGTCCATGTCGCTTCATTCCGTTATTGTCATCTGCCATCTCACTGGCGGAGGTGCTGGTGTTAATGTCGAGAAAAGGGGGTTTTGTAGATATTTCAAGGAGTCCAAGAATTTAATATGCCTCCTCCTGATAAATTCTGGGACTGTTGGGATATCTAGTAAGCTGTGGATAGCCGGTGGTTTCTCTTTCTTCCACACCGTTGTTCTTACTATCTTTCTTAACATGGTGTTTTGAAAGTTCTGGAGGTGTCTATGTGCGAATTCTGTGATGTGGGTGAACAGCGGTGCTCCGTAGAGTAGTGCTGGTCTGAGTATCGCTTTATACACCTGCAGCTTGAGGCGGAGTGAGAGGGCTGGGGATGTTAATAGGTGGTGCAATCTGTAGGATTTTCTCCTAACCGATCTCGTTTTCTTGTGGATGTGTGTGGTCAGGTGGAGGTGTCGATCCAGAGTTATGCCTAGGTACATTATGGAGTTTGATGGATTAATATTTTTGTTGGCCACTCTGAGGTTTTTCGGCAGTCTGTTCTTCTTCCCCTTTTGGTGAGAGAACACTACACAGTCCGTTTTTGCTGGGTTTACTTGGATGTTGAGATTTTCCAGCTGTTGAACTATCTCATCACATGTGTGTTCGGCCTGTTGTAGTGCTGTCTTGGGGTTAACACTGCGACTGTAGATGGCGATATCATCTGCGTACGCAGCAACGGTGGCTTTTTTGTAGTTCTTGCCAACTACATCCGCTGTATATATTGAGAACAGCACTGGAGAGAGGACTGCTCCTTGTGGTACACCACACGTCAGGGGAACTGTGTTGGAATGCTCATCCTGGACTCGCACCGAGAGACTTCTGTTTTTGAGGAAGGAGGCAATCGTTGTGTAGAGTTGCTCTGGGCATTCGAGATCAATGAGCTTATGGCATAAAATGCCATGAGACACAGAGTCGAATGCCTTTGTACAATCAATTGAGATCATGGCTGTTGCTTCGTTTCTGTTAAAGTTTGTGTTTATCTCATGCTGTAACTTCATGAGATGATGTTCGGTGCTGAGTTGGGCTTGAAAACCAGTTTGCTCGTAAGGAATTACGGAGTGTTCATCACAGAATTCCCGAAGGTAATTCAGAATGATCTTTTCGTAAACCTTAGCGAGGTGCGGCAGCAAACTTATGGGTCTGTAGTGATCTGGTTTGTCTCCCGGTTTAGCCGGCTTGAGGAGTGGAAACAGGATAGCATGCT